GAAGTTAGACGAATCAGGCGGTGGATTGTTTCACGATTCTCGTCCGCTAGCAGTACCAAAGGTACGTTGCCGTGCCTTGACCACTTCTGGTCAGAAGGTCGAGCGAATCTGTTCGAACAACTCGTCGAAAGTGATCATTCTTGCTGTTGCCACTGCGCTTTGGCGGGTCAGTCGAATGCGACGTAATCGGAAGATGATGCGTCGTGCCGGTGTGATTCAAGTGCTCGCCAGACTGATAGCTGTTGGTGACAGTGACCTCCTCGTACCGGTGATGGGCATCCTGCAGGAGTGCGCGTCCGAGATGTCATTTCGCGCCTCGATACGCAGCGAAGGCATTCTCGTCCATCTGTTGCCATACCTGCGCAACGACAGTCCTGAGGTGAAGATCGCCTGCGCCCGGACTCTCTTCCAGCTGGTTCAGGACGACGAGACCCTCGAGGAACTGCATCGCTTCAATGCGCCTCTCATCTTCTACCACCTTCTACAGGAGTATGTCCCTCTGGCACAAAACGCCCTCGAGGCGGGCTGGTTGGACTGGGCCGACATTTGGAGTGAGCTCGACCCACACAATATCGTCCTGTTGAAGGACCAAGAGCTCGGCTCTCCCAGTCGACTGAACTTCGCCAAAATCATCTCGACCAGACTGACAGAACCAAGCTTCGAGACCTCCGGTCCGACCGGCCGAATGCAGGACGTGCTGGCCAGCTCGGGCAAGCCAGGACTGCGAGAACTTCGTCTCACCAAGAGGACGTCACGACCTCGAGACCCGGATCCGGCCGTGGTGCCTGCTAACACGAAGCCGAAAAACGCAACGAAAATGTCGCTCAGCTTTCATCTGCTTCACATTCTACTCGGAGTAGTGTGGAAGTGCGCTGGAAAACAACAGATGCGCTACACCTTTGTGGAGTTGGGCACCACAAAACTGCTCTTACAGTTGGCCAGTTTTTTGCCGGCCTATTTCACGCCCTACAGCCGGCCAGTATGTTCCGTCTCGTTGCGGCTCAGTCGACAAGGCGTTCTCGAGCACATCACCGAACATGTGCTCTACACGTTGTCCGAGCTGGCCGAACACCAACGTGTCCGGCTTGAGGTGCTGGCCGATGTGCAAATCGGGCCCATCCTCGTCGATCTGCTGCGCTACGAGTCGTCAGCCCTGCTCATCTCCACCATGAAAGCCATCACTTGTCTCTCTCGCTGCGAAAAGCTTTTAGAGCGCTTCATCGAGCAGAAGGTCTTCCGTCATCTCTACTCCCATCTTCTGCATCCTACGATGGGTGTTAGAAGCGCCGCCCTCTTGGCTATGCACGAATTTCTCGCCTACACGCCCAAGAGCGAGTCCCTCGTCCGGCCGATTGCAGGTTCGTTGTCGAACCTCATCACCTGCCTCGTAGAGGCCTACGACGGTATGATTACGGCGGAAAATCAGGAGAGGCAACAGGAGATGGAGGCTCTTCTGGCGGCTGTCTGCTCCGTCGCTTCGATGATTGGTAAACATCCTATTCAGCGCCTCATTCTCGTCGAACTCGGCCTGGCCGGACCACTCGTCTCTGTTATCACCGAGGCGCACACGGACAAGATTCGAGAAGCTGTCGCCAAGACGATCACGGAGTTTGGTATGGTACCGAAAATTGCGGCACACCTCAGCAACATGCAGGTGAGTATGGATTTAGGCCCCAGATACCTTTACGCTCCAAAGCCTTCTCCGTTGACATTACTCCCCTCTGACCCACATTCAAAAAAGCCTGAGCTTCAATTCCCACTGAGTGATGTTGCTATATTACTCTAACTTATCTCCAATCTCTTATGTCAAGAAAAGTGGGATTTCGAGGAATCGCTTGTTTCATAATTGTTGAGCTGTTGTTGTTGAAAGTATCTGGTGGAGAGATTCGAAGGTTAATTTCTCCAGAAGACGACGGAGGATTCCTCTTGACTAGTTGTCGATTGGTTTTACTGGAACATTCTTTTTGACGACGTTTCTGAGGTAATCTCCTTCGATTCCCGTAAAAACATTATAGAATTTCGTCCAACATTTCTACAACCTATTTTATCGGCTCATTCCTAAAAGGTTGTATATATATTTTATTTTTCGTATGTTTCGAGACTACCACTTATTCAGTTACATGAGATTTATTTACCCTATTTCGTTTAAAGCGGTGAAAGATTAGTAGTAGAATTTTTCCACAATGATATGAGTAGAGCTGACGTTTCCATTAAATTTCACATAGCCTTGCTTTCCCAAAAGTTGTTCTCATCCAGGCCCCAGTGGACTGCACCTCCAGCGAGAGTCGAACCGTGACATTGCAGAATGTGAGCTTCACACGTTAACCAATCGGGCACATGGCCACGAGTGCCCTTGGGTCACAGGACAGATGCGAATTTCAAGAAAGGTCATGGATTTTCCATATTACATTATGT